TGTCCATCCATTCAATAGATATCTTCCACACCACACATACACAACGAAAACCCAATGTCTTAACCGTCATCGGGAGTCTCACCACAATCGCCAACACCTGCCGCCGTTGCCATCATGTCTGTGCTGCGACTGTCACTGTATCGGATCCGTCGCAATCGGATGGCAATCATACGCGCCGTCATTGCCTTCTTCTCGATGGCGGCCGTCTTCCTACTGCTCTCGCGGACCATCAAAACCACGACCAGAAGCACGTCCAGCGACGGCGAGTCGCCATCACTGATATCATCGCTACTGTCGCCGGACTCACAACACGACACACCCGTCGAAACGCATCCCAAGACACGCACAATGAGTGCCAATGAGGCGGTCGTCCAGTTGTCGGCCAAAGACTGGCGTCTCTTTCACGCGTTGAACCCCGTGATGAAGGGTTGGGGTGATCGGGGACTGGCCGTCAAACTGGAGGCCCAGGAGGACAGGGATCGCGCCAAAGAGCTGTTCAAAACGGGCGCCTTTGATGTGTTCATATCGGACCGCATTTCCCCGAACCGGACCCTCCCGGACGCCCGTCCCTACGAGTGCTCCAAAGTCCAGTACCCGACCCGCGAGTTGGGCTCCGCCTCTATAGTGATAATCTACACGAACGAGATCTGGTCGGCGCTCGTGAGGACCATATGGTCCGTCTGGAACCGGACGCCCGACCCGTTGCTCAACGAAATCATATTAGTGGACGACTTCAGCGATAAGCCGGAGCTGAAGGCGCCGTTAGACAAGTATTTGCGCTATTATTTCGGTGATCGAGTGCGAGTTATACGACTGGCCAAACGGGAGGGCCTGATCCGGGCGCGACTCATAGGCGCCCGCCGGGCCAGGGGTGAGGTGATTGTGTTCCTGGACAGCCATTGCGAGGTGACTGTGGGCTGGTTGGAGCCCATGATGGCCCGCATTCACGAAGACAGGCGTAACGTCGTCTGTCCCGTCATTGACGTCATATCCGACAAGACGCTGGAGTACTTCGCGGGCAATCCCTACTACTTCCAGGTCGGGGGGTTCACGTGGAGCGGACACTTCACGTGGATCGACATCCCGGAGGACGCGGCCAAGAAGGCGCCGACACGCGCTGTGGTGTCGCCCACAATGGCCGGCGGTTTGTTTGCCATAAACCGGGAGTACTTCTTCGAGATTGGCTCCTATGACGAGTCGATGGAGATCTGGGGCGGAGAGAACCTGGAGCTGTCGTTCCGCGTGTGGCAGTGCGGCGGGCGCCTGGAGATACACCCGTGCAGTCACGTCGGCCACATATTCCGCGACTATCACCCGTACAGCTTCAATGGGAAGGACACCCACGGCGTCAATACGCTGCGGACGGTAATGGTGTGGATGGACGAGGAGTACCAGAAGTACTTCTTCATGCATCGCAAGGATCTGCAACGCGTGGCGCCGGGAGATCTCAGCGAGAGGTTGGCGCTTAAAGATCGGTTGCATTGCAAGAGCTTTCGCTGGTATTTGGAGCACATCTACACCGAAGACAAGTTTATTTACGATAAGAACGCCAAAGCCTACGGTTTCGTGCGGAACGGTATCTCCAACTTGTGTTTAGATAACCTGAACCGCGAAGAGGATAAGGAGCACAACTTGGGTACGGATTGTGTGACGGGAACTGGAGATCTTGTTTCCGATTATTAATAGCTTTTTTGTGTCTATCTATCAATAGGGCTATACATATGCGCGCCGGACCGGCCCCGGGATGTGTGGACCAATCAGGTGTTTACGCTGACA